ATGCCAGTTGCCCGCTTAGGCTCGATTCAGCGTCAAGCGGACCTATCCACTGCGGGTACAACCTCGCTCTACGACAGTTTACAGCTTCAACAGATTAGCCTAACGCAAAGTCATCAGTCAGACATGCTGAACTGCGAGAGGTTGTGTCCCGACTGGACTGAAGATCATCGCTATCGTCAGAGTACGAGGAGTGGAAATGAGGAGGGGGAGGTGCAGAATGTGAATCTGCAAGATACTGCGCAGGATAGACCCCCAGAGGTATGTTTTATATATGTATATATTGGTCCATAAACACTTGTTTACCTTAGGCGACGACGACCCTTTATGTCCCAAAGAGGACCCAGTCGTGTTTAATGCATGCCTACGCAGCGTCTATCTCACTGTAAAGCTGCAAAGGCGGGCAGGTAACTATGTCCTCTTTAACAGTAACGTGCCCATATTAGGATGTTCACCCCGTATTAAACTTCCTAAGCTGCAGTCGAGATGATTATATGTGAATCTGAGTGTGGCCAAAAAACTGGCATCTCTATTGTGTATACTGAACCAAAGCATATAGCCACTAGGCTACTGAAGTGGGCCTCGGTCCATGGTTTCCGTTGAATCTTTCGTGAAATAAACGGAGACTGCTTTAAAAGCTGTTCGGGTTCCGCAAGAGTACAAGAGACAGGCAGATGACATTCCTCTACCGAGGCACCAGGTGTCTGAGGTGTTTTAGTTTCCACATGCGTGTTACTTGATGGATAAATTGGTTTCTTGTGTAACTAAAATCGGCCAACTGCAGCAAAAACGGTCGTTGACCTAGATTCGGCTTCTGTGTCGGGCTTCTTTTAGCATTAGCCTCGGTAGCCCGACAATTGTTGCCACCAAGGAGGAGACGTAGCCGAGATTTGCAAGTGAAACTGCTAATAGCGCAGTGGGCTTGGGATGCATCAGCTCCAGTCTCTTCGGAGAGAGGAGGAGCCAAAGGGATGGGCGCAGTGGTTGACTAGGCTGAAAGCGTCATAGATGCACACTACATAGGACATTGGATAAGGATATAGTAAGTCTCCACCACCTATTAATTATACTGAAGTAGCCGGAGTAGTATGCAGTTTTGCTGGATCATGGGAGGTTCGCGGTGTTTTGTGCCACTGCAACCGCGACTCCTTTTGAAGTAGCCCTTAACTCTACACGTGCGACGTTTCAGTGGAACTACGGAAAAGGTGACATTGCGGCCTGACGCCTAACCCCAGAAGGACTGACTTAGCCCATTAGTTGACAACCTTCCAATCCACGACTTATAGTGAGTTCCAATGGATGCAAGCGTCCTGGATTTATTATAGCGAGGAATGCGCTGATTTGCCTTGAGGATGGGTCTCTCCTTAGTATCGACCCTTTCATGCATCAGCCGACTGTCCCAGCCATTCACTCGACTAGTGATGACATTGAGTGCATTAACCGATTTCGTCTTAGCCTGTTCGGTGCGGCGACAATAAAGTAGTCGTCCGGACTCAACGCAGTCCATTTGGGCTCATAGACACTACCACTATTATGAAACTGCGGAAGAAGCGAAGTATATTGACGTCTTCTCATACCCTACATAAGTTCACAAGGGAGCAAACGAGAAGGTCCAGGTTCAGATGGAAATCTGACCAAGCAGACAGTGTCCTTGAGTGGCTAGCATATCATCAGAAGACCTGACTCATCTAACTGGTTGGGCAGAGCTATAATCCTTGGCTAATCGCTTTCCGATAAAACTGCCTCAGGTAAATGAGTATTATTATTATTATTATTTTGCCCGTCTGCATAACATTAACGACGGCTAAAGGATTTCCATTCAACTTATTCTTTATATTCAGGAAGACAACTACTCACCAGTGCATTTCACTGTGCAGAAGGAAGCCTACTACGAACATGGAGTGTCTGAGTACAGAGAGACGCCGAGGCAGACCGGTCTACCCTGGGATAACTACGAAATTGCCCACTCCTATCCCCCGCCACCACCACTGCCACCTCCGCTCATGCCTGCACCCTACCTCCCTCTTCCTCCTCCCCCCGAACCACCGGCCTGGATGGGCACAACGAATGTCTTCCCGCCACCGTACACCGCACTCATTCCTCACGGGCTATATCACCTCGATTATACCTGCATGCCGACGTCTGGTCAACAGGCGTCCGGTGACGCCCAATCCCCCGCTCCCGTGACCGCGGAAGAC